GTCCCATTCCCACGGTTTGGCCGGCAAGGCTATGGCAAGTGAAGCTGGCAGGGAATCGGCTGTCAGGGCCTGTTCCGGCTGCTCTGAGCAAGCTGAATCGAGGCTCGTTCAGACCAGGAAACCCCAACTTATGCGGGAAACCACTGCTGTGTGCTTGTACGTAAGACCAGATCAGCGTGTTCAGAGGATCACTTCTAGTTGCTTCTAGTTCTGATCAAATCTAAGGAAGACCTACCCGTGCGAAGCGGAACACTTGCCTGTATGGCATGATCATTTCTATGCCTGTGATTGGCCTGACTTGCAAGTATTTCCATCACCCCCTGTTCAATAGCCATGCTCCAGCAAGCATCAGAGAGGCCATACCGTAATACCCCGGATATAAGCGCATCTGCGCTTATAATAAAACACTGTTTTTTAGGGGGGTGCGCTTATAAATGAGTCATAATTATAAGCGCATGCGCTTATGTAATGAAAAACACAAAAATATGTTATAAACACACCAAACTGTGCATCTGAGTCTTGCAGTCTCATTCAAATCGAAATGTGTGGAGCGTTCTGAATCAGAATCGCGCGAGGGCGATTCTCTGCCGGCGCACAAGGGCAAGGACACGTCACTTTCGCATAGGAATGTGTCATGCTCGCCCCAGCCCAGGGTACGAACCAATAGCTTGCAGTCGCTCGTTCGCATCGTACAGGCTTGCCCCAGTGTTCGACCAATGGCCTGCAGTCGCTCGCTCCCAGCGCACAGACAACAGTTGTTCCCGAGCCCCCCTGTCAGGTCAACTTCGCGCCGTTGCGCTTTTCCTGAGCGAGCCCGCCCTCGAGGGAGTCGAACAGAGTAAAAGTGGATGTGGACTCGCTGCAAAACGTGAAGTCGTTACTGTTTTAATCTGTTTTTTTTAATATGTTTATACATGCGCTTATAATAAATCAGGGTTTTATAAGGGGTGCGCTTATAATCGGCCATAAGCGCATCGCTCCAGATAAAAGCGCATGCGCTTAACATAGGCCTGCGCTTATATCCGGGGTGATACGGTATTACTTTGTCTTGTCCTCCAGAAAAATATTTTAGGTATGTAGGATCATACTGGTAAGCTGTATGGGTGTATTCAGTAGACTTGGAGTCGAACAATGCCCCAACACTGACACATACCTTGGTTTTCTCCAACGAGTGCAAATTGCCCACCCCACGGTCAGTTTTGCTTATAAGGGCGTGTCTCCTCGGGTGGTAACCAGCTGTTCGAATTTCGAATTTCTGGGGTTGGCTGTGGTACAGTACATTACACAATTCGGTTTAGTCCGGTGTTCGTTCGAACAAGCCCCATTGAAAGTCCGAGGTGACACGCCCTAATCCGAGTAACACGGCCAAAAAAATCACAAATAGGTGATTCTAGTAGTCGCAGTTACGGATTAGAACCAGACCCGAACGGCTGTTTCAACTTGGCGAAGTGCTTCTAACTAACTAAGCTATTGGCTGAGCACGCAAAACTTCTCTCTGATCGTCCGTAGTATCCGTTCTCGTCGCGACGTCGAGACATCTCCGCGTACGCTCGCTCTTGCTCTCAACTTCTCGCTGATTCTTCCAAGCTCGCGTCGCGAGGGACTGTTGAGACGTTTCGAAGTCGTAGAACGTCTCAAATTCACGACGGCTAGACACCTCCGCATCCGCTCGCTCTCAGACTCGTTCACTCAAAGTCTTTCGGTCCCTCACACCTTCCGTCCCGTCTGTACCTCGTTCAAGCTGAGCTTTCAGATCGTCTGAATTTTCCGTTTCCCCCACTCTTCCCGTTCGCTTTCGCTCCAAAGAAGCTTTTCGAACGTCTCAAAGTCACGACGTCGAGTCACCTCTCGCTCGCTCTGAGTCTCATTGCCACGATTATCCAAAGTGGCATTACTTTGCTGATCTGGTCTGTGTTTCCGAGTCGGAAGGACTCTTGGGACGTCTCAAAGACGCGAGGTCGCAACACCTTCGCACCGCTCTCCTCGTGACTCGTCGTCACGATAATTCTTGCGCGCTGGTCTGCATCCCAGGAGGAGTACGCAGCATGGCCAACCAAACGGCTACGAGGAACGCAACTGCGGTTACAATCACGGAGCAAACAGGTAACCATCTCCCGCCGGGTCTTTTGTGTCGATTCAACGGCTACTAGCAATGCTACTGCGGTTACAGTCATGGAGCAAGCAAATGACCGCTTTTGAGAAGTCGCAAATCTGTCGCGAGACTAGCAGCATGACGAGTCGGAGGGGTAGTCAGCAACGCCTCCACTGCGGTTACGGTTACGGAGCGAGAAGGTAACGACCTTCTGCCGTGTGTTTGTCTTTTGAGTAAGGAGGAGAGTGAAAAGGCTACGAGGAACGCATTTGCGGTTACAGTAACGGGGCAAGCATGTAAGGACCGGTTACCGCGGTTGCAGTTATGAATTGAGCATGCCTTTTTGAGTCATATCAAAAGCCACAGTAACGTGGCAAGCTGGTAAAGACCGGCCGCTTGCTGCGGTTACAGTTATGAGCATTCTGTTTCTGAGGTGCCTGAGAAAGCTGTCTGTTGTGTGAGTGGACTCGACTTTGGCCCCATCGCGGTTGCCTGTACACATGTTCAACCCGCACCTCGAATCTTTCTAACCTTGTATTGTTTGTGTTATGAGCCATCTGTCGAACCCTTTCTCATCTTCCCCACTCCCTGCGGCATCTTGCTTGTTTTTCCTAGCACCTAGGCTGGAATGGAATGTACAACTTTCCAACCTAGCTGGTTGCGTCCCAATCAAATCTTCTTTCAGCTAGCGTCTAGGGTGGATTGTGCAACCTTTGAACCCAAACCTAGTTGGCTGGAAGTTGTTGTGGGCTGTTACCCTTTTCTGTCTCCTTGTGCGTTCAACTGCTTCTCCTGGGTACATGCTTTGAGCTTTTGTGCTCGCCCGTGCTCCTTACCCATCTCATTGTGTTGCAACCACGCGTTCAATCCCCACCGTCCAGATCAGGTAAGTTTATCCACTGGTGCTCCAATTGCCACAACATATCCAGTTTTGGCTTCTGATTGCGACCTATTGTCTTCCCTTGCATTTGTTGTTCGTTGAATCTGGGCCGTCCAAGCAGCCATGGTGGATCAGGTGGTGATCCGGTTGGCACCCCGACGGAGAGTGCAGTGGAGGGAGGGAACAGTGGACAACGAGCATCTCAACAAGAAGAAATCAAAGAGTGAGTGCGTCTCTACTCATGCACCGTATGCATCCGTGCATCATGTGGTATGAGTCGATTCAAACTTTGCAGGGGAGAGTGCAGTGGAGGGAGGGAACAGTGTAACACGAGCATCTGAACAAAAAAAGGGTCCAAGAGTGAGTGTTTGTCTTTCTGTGCAGAATATGCGGGGTGCAATGTGAGGCGGTCTAGCTTGCTCTTTCTTCCAATTCGGACTCTTCTTCCTCTACCTACCTCTGTTCTGTTCCTTCCTCACTCTGCCAAACCTCTGTATAGAGCCCTTCGTTTTCTACAAGCTACAGGCTGTTGTTGAGAGTTCGTGAAACCAGCTTGAACCTTTCTATATATATGTACCCTGCACCCCACATCCCGTCGTCCCCAATATAGAGTGCTGCATTTTCCACAAGCAGCGGCCCTTCGGCGAGAGCAGCAGTAGCAGCAGCAGTAGCAGTGACAGCGAGAGTGACAACAGCGATGGTGGCAATAATGGGGCGGGAAGAGGGCGGGACGATGCAAGGGACATGGGAGAGGCAAATTCAGATGCTGGCAAGTCAGGGAGTGCAGGGGGGCTGAGACAAGGAGCAGCAGATGCAAATGGTTCGGCTCCTTCCTCCTCTTCTAGACCGATAGGATCAGAGGGGAATGGTGAAGGCGGGAGCAGTGGGAGGAGGAGAAGACGGCACAGGCATGGACATGGAAAGCACTGTCATGGGCACTGTGGGGGTGGGGAGGGTGAGGTGGGAGGTGGCGGTGGGGAGGGAGAAGGGGGAGAATCAGGTGGTGAGGATGAGCACAGGAGTGAGTGAATGAGCAAGTCAGCATGGCCACACTTGGTTTCTGGGCAGTTTTCCAGGTGCACTATTCTTTTCCATGATACGGTCCATTATTTTTGGCAGGGTTTTTTATGCTGGTTTGGGAGGAAATGGTGTTGGTGGGATTATTGGGAGGAGGGGTTGGCATGGCCTGGTTCCAAGTGTGTGGGAAGTGTTGTTCTAGGCATACCGTAGTGGTGATGGGAAGGGAGACTTGGAGGGAGAATACAGTGAATAGGGTAGGAAAACGGCAAGTTCCAATGATTGCGAAGGTTGAGTCTCAAATAGCGTGAAGGAAAGAGAAATGAGATTCAAATGGTGATGGCAGCTGAACGGAGTTACTAGAGAATGAGTTTGAAGTTTAAACCAGTTGGCTTGTAATTGCTCTCCATTTCCTATCTGGTTCTACGACAGATCAATTCTTATCGAGTCATTCTTGTAACGAGCTTGGCATGTGCTGGCCTGGAATCTCATGCCAGCAGGGGATTGTGAGTCACCCAGCATTACCGCACCCCACCACAGTCTATTACTCAAATTTCAAATCCCCATCCCAAGACCCTGTCCCCCGCCAGGCCACACCTGCCCCTCGTTCTGCCCTTTCTGCGCCTGCGCTCCCACCCTATTCAATGGCGCCCAAGCCATATTTCTAGCTTTCAGTTCATGGCTGCTCTTCCCCCAAGCTCGCGCCCCTTCACTTCGAGAAGTAGCGCCTCTTCCTCTTCTATTGCTGACCCCGGGTCCCGCTCCCCTGCGTTCGCGCGGTGCCCCTCTCCTCCGCGCGCTAGCCCTATTTCCCGCGGAACATCCGCATTGCGGAAAGCGCACCCCGCGGAACAGCTAGCCCCGTTCGCGCAATCCCCATCCGCCCACGCGCGGAAAAACCGTTCCGCAAACGTCACTCCCGCGGCCAGGGCGTCGAGCCAATCTTTCGTCGCCAGCGAAGAATCTCGACCGTCCGATCTCGTCGAAATCCCCTCTTGCCCGATTCCGCCAATGGCTGATCCGTCCGATGCGCTCGTGCTGGCCTTGCACGAAGTCGAGGCTGTGAAATTCGGCAGTTTCAAGCTTAAGAGCGGAATATGGTCGCCGATTTACATTGATCTGCGCGTGATCGTATCGTATCCGAAGCTGCTGCAGCAGGTGGCCGACGCGATGTGGGCGCTCGTGTGCCCGTCGGTTGTCGGCGAATCCGATGCCGCTGCGAAATTCGACAACGTCTGCGGAGTCCCGTACACCGCGTTACCCATCGCCACGGCCATTTCGCTCTCGCGAAACGTGCCGATGGTCATGCGAAGGAAGGAGGTGAAAGGGTACGGAACAAGGAAGGCCATCGAAGGGGCCTTCGAGACCGGCCAGCATTGCCTCGTTATTGAGGACCTCGTTACAAGCGGAGCATCCGTTATGGAAACTGTAGAACCGCTTAACGAGGTTGGGTTGAAAGTAACTGACGTGGTTGTCCTTATCGATAGGGAACAAGGCGGCGCTGCGCATCTGGCGGCGCGTGGGCTGCGCCTCCACGCGGCGCTGACTCTGACACATGTCGTCACGGCATTGGTCAAGCACGGCAAGCTGACCAATGATGTGGCAGAATCCGTGACCAAATTCATCGCGGAAAACCAAACCGCAAACCCCGCCGCTGCTCCCGCCGCCGCCCCCGCGCCCGCTGTAACGGTTGCCCCTGTAACCGCCGCCTCTTCGCGAAAGTCGTACGCCGCTCGCGCGGCCCTGGCGAAAAACGAGGTGGGGCGGCGGCTGTGGGAGATCATGGAGCGGAAAAAGACAAACCTGTCAGTGGCTGCTGACGTGGAGTCGGCGGAAGAGCTGCTCAAGCTGGCGGAAACGGTGAGCAGGCGGGGTGGGGGGGGGAACGGGGCGAGCGGAACGTTGGGAGGGAGGAGGGGAGGGTGGGGGATGGTGGGGAAGGGGGAGCGAAAGGTGAAAGGAACAAGATGACGAATGTATCAATACCTTGCGCTTGCAAGCATGGCCATAGGTTTTTTAAGACTGCTAAACGATGTCCATAGTCATAGGGTCTGGGTTACAGCCTCAGCACACAGGCGAAGCCCCTCCTTTCATTCCCCCTTTCCCTCCGTCTCCCCTCGTCTCACACGCCCATTCTGTTCCAGCCAATATTTCAATTTCGAAACCCTATTTCCATTCTCTCAGAACCCCAAACTCTGCCGTCCAAAACCCTCAACCCTGACGTCCCAACCATACCCGTTTCTTCCACCGCAGCCCGCGGATCGGATGAGAGATCTGCGAGCTCAAGGCGCACGTGGACATTCTTCCATGGCCCGCATGTCTACACTTTAAACCCTGCTTGCTTTGCCCCTCTAAAACCCCATGCTTTTCCTCAAAACCCTATGCTCAGATCGGGTCGGTGATTTGCGTTCCCAAGACCCACGTGGACATTCTCCCGTGGCCCTTTTCCCTGCTGCCATTCTCGTGTCTAACCCCCCAATGCGCGTTGCTCCCTTATCCCGCTTGTACCCAAAACCCCTCGAACAGATCGGGTCGGAGATCTGTGTGCTCAAGACGCACGTGGACATTCTCCCGGACTTCACTCCCGAGTTCGGCAAGCGCATCCGCGAGGTGAGTGAGTGGTGCTCTGCAGTGCCGTGTGGTGCCGTGTGTGTGGTGCCGTGTGTGTGGTGCCGTGTGTGTGGTGCCGTGTGGTGGTGCGTGGCTGTTTGTCTGTGTGGTGCTGAGTGGCGAGGAGCGGCTGCGTGCGATGACGAGCAATTGTGTGTATTTTGTCATAGGTATTTAATTTCACCGTTGTTTCATCACTGTCTGCCTGGTCTTTTGGAGCACCATCCTCTAAGTACCTCTCTCTCGCCCTCTCTCCCGTTTCCTGCTGCAGATCGCCACGCGGCTGGACTTCCTGGTGTTTGAGGGCCACAAGTGTGCAAACCCAGTTACTCACCTCCTCTGCCCTCTTCCCTCCTTCCCTTCATGTGTTCGTACCGCTTTGCTCCCGCCTTACTCTGCTCCTCTGATGCAGATCGCCACGCGGCTGGACTTCCTGGTGTTTGAGGACCGCAAGTTTGCTGACATTGGTAACACGGTTACCATGCAGTACGGCGGGTGAGTGTGGTTACATGGTGGGGTTTTGTACCTGTCCTTCTCTCTCCCATTCTCTTCCCCTTCACCTCGTGTCGTTTATTTTCACGCCTGTAAAAAGCATCCACATGCATCATCCCACATATTGAGGCGCCTAGAAAAAGGCCCCACAGGCATCAACCCAGTTTCCATCCGTGCCGCTACTATTGTCACTTATCTTGCGTGGTGACTTTTGAGTCGACTCAAAAGTCACCTCTCCTAGATAAAGGCCCCACAGTCATCGACCCAATTTCCATCCATGCCACTACCATTGTCACTCTTCTTGCGTGCACCCTCACTCTCACTCTTTTCTCTCTCTCTCTCTCTCGCACTCTCACTCGTTCTCACTCTCATTCTCACGCTCATTTTCACTCTCATTCTCACGCTCATTTTCACTCTCCGTCTGCTGCTCCCAGGGGCGTCTACAAGATCTCGGAATGGGCTTATATCATCAACGCCCATGGCGTGCCCGAGTTAGGCATCATGTGTGCCCCTCTCCCTCACACTCACTCACTCGCACCCTTGTTCTCTCACGCCCGCTTCCCCTCGTTGCTCGCAGGGGCGTCTACAAGATCTCCGAATGGGCTGACATCATCAATGCGCATGGCGTGCCGGGGCCAGGCATCATCCAGGGGCTCAAGCAGAAGGTATGGCGGGATGGAGAGCGGTGGAACGGGTTGGGGTGCGGTGCAACAGGGTGGGGTGGGGTAAGCTTACATGTAAGGGTGTCATGGGGCCAGGCTTCATCCAAAGATTCCAGCAGAAGCTATGGGTAGGGTGGGGTGTGGTGGGGTGGAGTGAGGTGGGATGGGGTTTCTTCCAACTAGAAGCTAGGGGTGCGATTCCGAAAGCGTATACTTTCTCCTCCCCGTCACCCTCCATCAGGGCGGGTCCCTCCTGCTCCTGGCGGAAATGAGCTCAGCAGGCACACAGTCCATGGCTCCCTACAACTCACAAGACACTAGCCCACTCCACCTACACGGCAGCCACGCTGCACTCACCGACCCGGACTACGTCATCGGCTTCATCTCCATCCACCCGGGGGGGTGGCGCACCGGTGCCACTGCCGCTGCTGGTAGTCGTGGTTCTGTTGCTGCTGGTGCCACTGGTGGTGATGACCCACCTCCTTCCCCTTCCCCTCCCCCTCCTCCTCTGGCAGGGCGGGTCCATTCTTCTCCTGGCGGAGATGAGCTCAGCAGGCACCCTCGCCCACTCCACCTACACGGCCGCCACGCTGAGAATGGCGCTCACCGACCCGGATTATGTCATTGGCTTCATCTCCATCCAACCTGGAGGCTGGCGTAGTGGTGCCACTGCCGCTGCCGCCGCTGCTGCTGGTGGGGCGTGTGAGGAGCTGGCGGCGGCTGTGAGGGAGGCGGAGGCGGCAGGGGTGTGGGATACGTTGGTGCACATGACGCCGGGCGTGCAGCTGGCGGCTGGAGGGGACGCGCTGGGTCAGCAATACAACACTCCAGACGCTGTAAGCTGGCACGAGTTATGAACGTGAGAGTGCAATGGGTTCCTTGCTGTAAGAAGCGGAGGCAGCGGGGGTGTGGGATACGTTGGGACGCCAGGCGTGCAGCTGGCTGGCTGCTGGGGGGGATGCTCTGGGCCAGCAGTACAACACTCCAGACGCGGTGAGTTGAAGGGAGAGGGGGATGCTTTTACTGTCGTGCAGAGGTATGGAGGGAAGAAGAGGCAGCGGGGGTGTGGGATATGTTGGTGCACATGACACCAGGTGTGCAGCTGGCTGCTGGTGGGGACGCGCTGGGGCAGCAATACAACACTCCAGACGCTGTGAGTCCATGGGTGGGTGGTGCTGCTGAAGATTCTAAGAGGGAAACGCAGCAAGGGTGGGGTGGGTGTGGGATACGTTGGTGCACGTGACACCAGGTGTGCAGCTGGCTGCTGGGGGGGACGCGCTGGGTCAGCAATACAACACTCCAGACTCGGTAAGTTGATTGAACGGTGGTGCTGTTGATGCTGTGAAAGAAGGTGGCCAGTAGGGGTGTGGGGTTATGGCATTAATTCTTTGATGTTCCTAAGAGATGCTCTTTCTTCTTGGTACTCATCCTTGCTACCCAAACCCACTCAACCTGGTCCCCTCCTTGCAAACCAAGGTGACTGATCAAGCAGCAGGGCTGCTGCGGCATCATCATAGTGGGTGGGACCCATTGGTGGATCTCATTCTTCCCTTGCAACCCCCCCACCCGCCTCGTGCCCAACTCAACCGCTCTCCACCCCCAGGTGATGAAGCAGCGGGGGTCCGACAGCATCATAGTGGGCCGGGGAGTCATTAAGGGAGCTCACCCCCTCTGCGCCCTTCCACCTCATGTGCTGTGCCCCCTGACCCCCTCTTACCTCTCTCAACCGCTCTCCACCTCCAGGTGATCAAGCAGCGGGGGTCCGACATCATCATAGTGGGCCGAGGAATCATCAAGGCGGCTGACCCTCTGGAAGCTGCCAGGAAGTATCGCGAGGCTGGGTGGGCGGCGTACGAGGAAAGCCTTGCTGCTGCAGCTGCTGGTGAAGGTGCTGCAGTCTAGAAGTCTTGGACTTTAATTTGATCATCTCCAGCGCTGTTGCTGGGTGGGCAGCGTACGAGGAAAGGAAAGCCTTGCTGCCAGGGGTGGTGGTGGTAGTGCTGCAGTTTAGAGTTCTTTGGATCGAACAGGATATCTGCATGGGTAGAATCATTAGTCATCGTGTGGGGTGGGGGCCCTTTGTGCTGCTGTGGTGCTGAGGATGTGGGAAACGGATTGGATTGGATGAAGGACATGAGAATTGCTGTGTGTGGCGGCGGACACGAAGCGAGCGAGCGTAGAGCTGCTGCGACTTGAAGCCACACTGCTGCTGTGGTCGTGAATGGATGCATCAGGAATTAGCAGTTGTAGTTCTTGAGTTTTGTAAGGCCAAGGCCAAGCAAGCCCCTACAGGGGGCCGAACAGGCCCTCAGATTCGTTTTTGGGCTGTCTGATTTGTCAGACTTAGTGCACATTTTTAGTCTAATAAAATAATCTGAAATGTCAGAGTTAAAGAGAAAAAGTCTGATATACCTAAGTTCACATCGGTAGTGAAGCAGGTGGATAAGCCTAAAACGAGGTGTTAACCGCGCTGCAACACTGTTGCCACTGTTTCAACGAGACTCACAGGACAGAATTGTACTTCCCGCGATAATTGCGGCTGTCAGGTCAGATTTTGCATAGACATTGTTAGAGGGGTGTTTACTGTTCCCTTCGAATAGTACTCCCAACCCTATCCTTATCCTTATCTTTTCAGATTTCCTAGTGCCACGTGGCACTCTACCTTTCTTGCTTCTACTTTCTAGTCCCACGAAGTACTTTCCGACATTCGACCTTGCATGCTATATCATCCTTGCTTGTATCCACCAATATAAATCAATTCTCATTCCACTCTTCAACCACTGTTACTTCTTCACATATTTCGCCAACACTCTCTTTCGCCAAAGTCTTGCGCCACGCATTCATCCTCGACTTAGTCGACCCCGCTAATCTTTAGCGGATTTAGGCCAAGGGGCCTAACACTTGGTATCAGGAGCCTTCGTGGGGAGCGACTTCCAACGAGCGACCGTCGACGACGAGACTACGACGTCATCGTCCCGCGGTGCCGACTTGCAGACTTGGAGTCGTCGACCCAACATGGACGAGACCATGAACGCTCTCCCCAACGACATGGGCAATGCGCTTGCTCAACTCATGCGCCGACGCTGGAAAATCGTGAGGTACGAGCTGAAATGCAACAGCTTCGTGAATTCGCGTCAATTTCTCATGGTCGTGCCGCACCATCTCCTGCACCCAACACGTCGACTGGCGCGGAAGTGCTGCCGGAACGTCGAAGCGCACTCAAGCCGCAGAAACCCGAGTCGTTCGACCCAAGTCAACGCGACGCGAACGTGCGGACGTGGCTCTTCATGCTGAACAACTACTTCGCCGCGAGCGGGGTGCAAGAGGCGGACGCGCAGCAGCAGATCGAGTACTCCGTTACGCTGCTGAGGGGCCCGGCCTTGGAGTGGTGGCGCCAACTCACGCAAACTGCTGTAAGAAGGGCTCAGACAGACGGGCATCAACAGGGCGTGGGGCATGCAGCTGCAACCTCGAGCTTAGGGAGTATAGCTTTGGGTGTTACCACGGTTCCGACGACATGGGAAGGATTTAAAGCGACGCTGAAAAGTAGGCCCGGCTGCTCAGCGGCCCCGTCGCCCCCCCACTTTCAGCGGCCCCGTCGCCGCCCCTTTCAGCGGCCCCGTCGCCGCCCCTTCAACGGCCCCGTCGCCGCCCCTTCAGCGGCCCCGTCGCCGCCCCTTTCAGCGGCCCCGTCGCCGCCCCTTCAGCGGCCCCGTCGCCGCCCCTTCAGCGGCCCTGTCGCCGCCCCTTCAGCGGCCCCGTCGCCGCCCTTACAGCGGCCCCGTAGCCGCCTCTGCCGCCGAGCCGCCGAGCCGCCTTTGCCGCCGAGCCGCCGTTGCCGCCGAGCCGCCGAGCCGCCGTTGCCGCCGAGCAGCCGGGCCGCCGAGCCGCCGAGCCGCCGAGCCGCACTGCAGCTGAGACACCGCCGCCTACCAGCCTGCCCCGGAACGCCTCACTTGCCTGGTAAGAGCAGCGCCTCTACCACTGCACTGCCCTACCCCACTGTGCTCACTGCCTCTCTACTGCTCTCATGGCCACCCCTAGTGTTCTCACCTTTGACGCTGAGGGTCGGGCTGTTGACTTTGAGGTCTGGGTAGATGATCTGCAGCTTTTCCTACAGTGCGATAGGGCAGACGGTCTCTCCCTCTTTGACCTCACTTCTGGTGCCTCCCCTGCCCCTGCTGCTGATGCTGACGCCACTGTTCGCTCACAGTGGGCCACGCGCGATGCTGCTGCCCGCCTTGCTGTGCGCCGCCACTTACCGACCGCTGAGCGTGCGCATTTTAGTCAGTACAAGAGTGCTAAGACCTTGTACGACGCTGTAGTTGCACGCTACTCTTCCCCTGCCACTGCTGCTCTTAGCCGCCTCATACTGCCGTACCTCTTCCCTGACCTCGCCGCTTTTCCCACAGTCGCTGACCTCATTACGCACCTTCGCACTAGTGACATTCGCTACCGCGCTGCGCTTCCAGCTGAGTTCTGCGCCAAGAACCCCCCCCCTATGTACATCACCCTCTACTACATAGTCACCCGGCTCCCTGACACCCTTCGTTCAGTTAGGGACCACTTCCTCTCTGTCTGCCCCACCACTCTCACCGTTGACCTCCTCGAGGAGCGCCTCCTAGCGGCAGAGAAGAGTATAGTCGCTGTAGGAGCCTCCCGTGGTGACCCTCGTACCCCTGTCTTTGAGGGGTGCTCCCCCTCCCCCCTCTTGCCCTCTGTTGCCTCTGCTGCTGCGGCCGACCTCGTTGGTCTTGAGTCAGTCGGCGCGGCGTCTGCCCCTAGCGGGAGACGCCGCCCAGGCAAGGGCAAGGGCGGCAAGGGAGCTGGAGGAGCTGGCGGGGGCGGTGGAGGAGGCGGTGGAGGCGGCGGAGGGGGTGGGGGTGGAGGTGGGAGTGGTGGCGGGGGTGGGGGCACTAGTGGCAGCAGTGGAGGCGGAGGAGGCAGCGGTGGTGGCGGTGCGAGCGGAGGTAGCGGAGGTGGAGGCGGTGGTGGAGGTAGCGGCGGCGGAGGTGGAGCTGGTCGGGGCGGCTCTGCGCAGAGGGTCGGCTCCGGTGGTGGTCAGCGCCAGCAGCAGCAACAGCAGCGCACTCGTGAGACCCCCTCTCCCCAGCAGCTTCGTGAGTGGTACACTGCTCGTCAGCGGGGTGGGGGTGCTGGCCCCTGTACCTACGTTCTCCGTACCGGCGACCGCGCGGGTGAGCAGTGTGGGGGTCCGCACTCCACCCAGCGCTGCTTCGGCCGTCTGACGGACGCTTGGCGTCACCAGTTCCCCGACGCTACTGAGATCCCTCGCTGGGGCGAGCTGTTTGGGGCGGGTGTTGCGATCTTTGATCTTGATTATGATGCTATTCTTGCTGCCATGTATGCTGTGACTATTAGTGATGAGGGTGACTGTTACCGGTGTTTTCCGCCTGACCCGGGCATTGAGGCTGCTGCTCTAGGTGCTGGTGAGGCTGCTGCTCTAGGTGCTGGTGAGGCTGCTGCTCTAGGTGCTGGTGAGGCTGCTGCTCTAGGTGCTGGTGAGGCTGCTGCTCTAGGTGCCAGTGAGTCTGCTGCCCCAGGTGCTGGTGAGTCTGCGCTCTCAGGTACTGCGTCGGCTCTGGCCACCCACACCTTCACCCTTGACTCGGGTGCTTCCCGCTCCTTGTTTTGAGATCGCACCACACTCACGCCGCTTAGTCGGCCAGTGGCAGTCTCCCTGGCAGACCCCTCTGGGGGTCCTGTCCTTGCCCACTTCTCCACTGTCCTACCGTGTCCGGCGGCCCCTTCTGACACCCTGTCAGGTCTTTACCTCCCCTCGTTCTCTACGAACTTGGTGAGTGGTGCTGACCTCCAGGATGCAGGGGTTCACCAGTTCACTCCTGCGGGTCAGCGAGCGACCCACTGTACCTGTGCTCGGACGGGCCGTCACTTGGCCACGTTTACCTGTCGGCCGGGGTCGAGCCTGTACACACTGACTACTGAGTCTCCTCCAGTCGCTGAGTCTGCTCAGGTAGCCGCGTCGGGTCGGGTGTTTGCTGCGGCGTCTAGGTCTGGCCCTGAGTCTGCCCCCTGCTCGTGTCGTCTCCTGTCTCACCAGACTCTCCTCTGGCACCACCGCCTTGGTCACCCCTCCCTGCCAGGCTGCCCTGCAAGAAAGCAGTGCTGAAGTCAAGAGAGTGAAGCTCGTAGTCACGGTGAGCGGCTAAGTGCAGCAGTACCCGAAGAGTGGTCATCTTCGGGGTGGGAGAGAAGGTCTGAAAGTAGTCAACTCCCTGCCGCTGACTGAAGCCACGAGCCACGTAACGCGCCTTGAAGACAGGCGGAGAACCCGGCGGCCGCTTCACCCTGAAAATCCACATGCCACTGACGATGTTCGCCCCAGGCGGGGGAACCTCGTCAACGTAGGTGCCTGTGGATTTCCAGGAAGCCATCTCTGCGTCCATGGCTGCCTGCCACTGAGAGGAGTAGGGACCCGCGGAGTCGGGATGTCTGGTGCATCCGGGTCTCCCTCAGGGGCAAGTAACATGGACACGAGATGGGGTGAAGCAGCCGCAAGACACTGGAACTCCTCCTGCCTGTCCTCAAGGACGTCCGTGCCAAGAGCACACTCACCCCCGACGGACGGAGGACAGACAGACTCAGACTCAGCGACAAGACTAGCAGCGTAGTCTAGGCGACAGCGAGCAGCGAAGTCGACAAGCTCAGCAACTAGGGCAGACGCAGCAGTGGACTCAAAGGAAGGGTCAGTGACAACAGTAGCAAGGAGACGCGTGACAGTAGGACTGGCAGCACGAAGGGAGTCTGACTCGGGGTCAGCAAGAGCAGGAAGAGAGGACTCAGGAGGAGAAGGCAAAGGGGCACGCAGTGGAGCTGTGGAAGGACGCAGAGACATCCGGTGCGTGCCGGGGACAGGGGGA